GTGTTGAATCACTATATTATACATCTGAAACTAATATAACACTGTGCATTACCTAACTGGAATTAATATAAAAACTTAAAATATTTTTTAATTAAAAAAATAAAAGGGTAAAGTGGAAGAGAAGACAGTGAGCTTAAAAAGTAATAAATTATTTGGAGTAAAATTGAACACTTCCATAAATGGTTACTGAGGCATGCTAGAAGATCATAGTTATGAATGGGTAGATAGCAACAACCTCTAGTGATTTGCATTCTTTGAAGAGAGAAGCCAGAGGAGTCCCACAGCTGTAATTGTTCTAACCAGTCTGTCTGAGTATGTAGGCAATTAAATTTAGAGGCATTTCAGCTCAAACCAGTTAAGAAATAATAAGTCATTCAGATAAATAAAAGGTTTGATTATTGTACTCATACATTATATTTGGATAAACGTTTTATGATATAAAGGATAGACCTTGATGATATTGTTTCTTCACTGTTTCTTCAAACTCATGGTTTGATTAAATTCATCCATTTATTCATACAACAAACTGAGTCCTTATAGATGTGTACACACTGTGCTAGAAACAAACAAAATTAAGAACATTGTCCCTGCCAGCAAGGCACTTAACCTAGTTAGAGAGACAGGCACAGAAATGGAAACTCAGACAACAATGTGGGACATGAAATAATAGAGAAGTATACATGTATAGAAAGATAAGAAAAGACACCCAATCCAGTGTGGAGCAGGAAGGAAGGAAGAGGAAAGAAAGAAATCAAGAAAGGCTTCTAGAACAGTGGTGCCTGAACAGAATATTAACAAGCCTGGCTTCTCCTTCTATACATTTTCTAGATTATGAATAATGTATTTTTTATTCCTCCTTTAGCCAAGTCCTGAAGGCTGTGAATTCAAGAGATAAGAACTAGAAATAACTGGAAAACGTAAGAGGGCATGCATATTTCTACAAAAATAATGAGGCATCTCCAAACCAGCAGGAGAGGTGACGTGGAGCACTGTGCAGCTTTATAGAGGTGATTCAGTGTTTGAAGCCTCTGCAATGTTTGCACATTATCCCAGGAGTGAGGCTGCTCAGGTGTCTGATCAAAAACCTATTGGGGCATCAGTAAATAAATATCACTGCCAAGAGATGATATGGTTGTTCTTGTTCTTCAGACTCCCCAGTGCTAAAGAGCTCCTGCAATCACTCACACCTACAGTAGATATTACATTTAGAATCAGAAAGTGGGCACTAGAAAAAGAATCCTCAAGATCATAGTGTAAACATTTAATTGACAGAGAAGGAATCTGAGAGAAAACCTGCTTGCCTGAGGTCATGCAGCTATTTACTGAGATGAAATCTGGATTCAGGATGCAGGTCTCAGTCATTTATATATTCATTTAAAAAAATAAATGAGGGCACCTGGGTGGCTCACTTAGTTAAGCGTCTGCCTTCGGCTCAGGTCATGATCCCAGGGTCCCTGCTCAGCAGGGAGTCTGCTTCTCCTTCTGTCCTCCCCCCCGCCCCCATAAATAAGATCTTCTAAAAAAAAATTAAATGATATCGAAGTGTCTGGCTCTGTGCTGGGTACAGAGTATGAAATTTAGACTCATTGACACATCCCTACTCTCTCCCATCCAATCTCCTGCCACAGATTTCATATGGTTTCACTCATACTTATACTTCAGATATATCTTCAAAATATAAATACTTTTAATAAAACATAACCCCCATATTATTTCACTCAAAGTAATTTGCTAAATATCATCAAATATCCAGTTAATATTGAAAGTATCTAGTTATCATTGATGAGTTTCTCTGATTATTCATGCAAATTGGATCCAAATTAGATCAATAACATTGTGCAATAAAAACGTCTTTGTTACCATTATTTGTTGAGGAAACAAGGTCATTAGCTGATAGAACTCTCCAGTCTGGATTTTGCTAATTGTAACCTCAGTGTTCATTTAACATATACCTCTACCTTCTGATTTTTTAACTTCCATGAGCTAGTATTTAGATCTAGTAGCTTGATCACTTTCAGGTTCAAATTTTTTTGACAAAAAATACTTCCCAGTGGCTTTGTATACTTGCTGTCACATTACTTCAGGAGACATGTAATGTCTGGTTGTCTTTCTGTGACGTTCAGATGAATCAGCAGGTGTTGTCAAACTGATCCATGCATTCTAAAATGCCAAGGGTGTTATGTTAGGTAGGAAGTGACTTTTAAGCTGTGACCTAAAAGATGAAAAGGAGCCAGTCATGCAGAGTAGAGGAAGAGTGTAGCAGGTGGAGGCCCTGAGATGAGAAAGAGGTTGTCATATCCTCAGTCGCCCCTCTGAGGATCAGCGGAGCTTTTCTTTCTGTTCTCCACTACTCCCAGTAGCTCCCCAGTTTCCAAAAGGTGGAGGTGGAGAACCCTCTGCTTAGAGGTGTCAGGAACCAAGTGGTACTTTCAGTGCAGGTGGCCGCAGGCACACAATTTTGCTCTCCTGAAAATGCTTAGGAGCACAACTATTTTGACTTAGACTCAGAGACCTAGCTGAGAAAACAACCTGGTCTCTCTCATGACACAAACCAACCAGCCATTTTATTGAGTAGGCTAGAGTGGCAGAAATGTGCTTCTTAGGGTAACACTGGGCAATAGTTAAAGTGGTAAGGATAGATTTTGATCAGTAATGTATTATTACAATAGGGAAAGCGTCCAGTGCAAATTTAACTCAACTTCTTTATACAGAGGTGACTAGGCTTTTCAAAGGGATAATAAGGGAAGAGGCAGGAGAGTGAGGGGGTCTCAGTAGAATCAGGGCAGTGATAAATTACAAAAAGCTGGAAGGGGAGGTGGTCCCTGTGAAATGCATCTGGGTTTGCTAACTGACTTGGAGAAATTAGAGTCTTCCTCACCCACAGAGTCTGGGAGACAGGGGCCCCATCTTCAGATGTTGGCTGGAACAGAAAGTAAAATTTTTTCACAACCTTGAGTTTTCTGGGGCAGCACTTTAAGGGGGCCTAAGGTCATCCTAGAGATGTGGTCTTGAGCTGTTAGAAACTATGGTAGCATTTGTTCAGGTCCTTATAAGCCAACGTTGACAGGCCTAGTCAAGAAGAGGGTTCAGAGAAACATATCTGGAGTGTGGTCAAGGAGAGACTTTTTGTCAGTTGTCGTAAGTATCAAATGGAATACTGACCTGAAAATGCTTGAAGGAATGCAATACATCAGTATCAGTTGACACATTCATTTATATAGCCAATCATATCCCTTCTTATCCTTCAAAATGCTTATTAAAATTCTTCCTTACAACTGAGTTCCCACTACTAAACATTCTGCCACTCGGCGAGAATGATGTGGGAAACAAAGGCAGAAGAAAAATGATTAAAGTTCCTTACTATTGACAGCCGTTGACAAGTCCTTGCGCAGTGGCAGTATCTAGCCAATGAGGTTTACCCGAGGTGCGATTATTGGTAATTGAAACAGGCCAGAGTGACATTCCTCTAAGGACTCAACTGCCTCAATGTTGACACTTTGCTAAGAGCAAAATTCAATCTTAGCTGGACCCCCAGGACCCTGTAGGTGTACTTTAACATACAAAAATTCCTTTGGAAGCTCCCTTTATCTCTAACCCCTCCCCCCTCCAAACATATGGCCCCCTGATATACATCTGAAGGGTCTCATGACTGAGTGTTTACTAAACAACAATAAAGACCTTTCCTAACAATAGCTAGCCCCCTCAGGGCCCTAGAAACCTTGTTCCCAAAATACCTTGGAGGTTTGTTCTGTCCCTAAGCCCCTTCCCAATTTGCGAGTATATAATTGGCCACTCTTTATGACCCCAGCGCAGCTCTTTCTGCCAATGGATCCTGTCCCTGTGCTTTAATTAAACCACGTTTTTGCACCAATGACCTCTCAAGAATTCTTTCTTGGCCCTTGACTATGTGCTAGGTATTTTACATACATCATAACATTTCCTTCAAATACAAAGTTTAGCTACTTGGCCGAGGTCATACAGCCAGCGAGTGGCAGAGGCCAGATTCATACTCAACTCTGGCGATTGTTACCCAGTTCCATTAAACAAGAAACTCCTTTCATGTTTTAAATCGTTCAGCTAAAAGAAAACCAATTTATTCTTAACACACTGGACATGTTCATTGCCAAAAAGATTTTTTGTAAGAATCTTATATATGTGAGTTCTCATTCATTCTAACAAGATTCTAAGTTATTAGAAGGGCAAACAAAGGTCAAGCTGTACACCTTTCAGTTTATGAACTCTTTCTTCAGCACCACCATGTATCATAGCATCATATTTAAGCCATTGCACCTGCCCTGAGGGAACTAGGGAACAGGATACAGAATAGTAAATGCTAACTGTGCAGTGCAGGAAAGATCAACGGTGAGTCAGGACAGCTGGGGAAGGTTTCAACGAAGATTAGAATTGAGCTCCATCTTGAGGATCAGCAGGATACTGACACTGAGAAGGAAACGAGCGGCACTCCAGGGATGAAGGTGAGAAGCAAGAACAGTAGAAGCTTATATATCTTTCAAAAGTAGTGTGTTCACTGTCACAGAGCTTGAGTGGCCGACGGTCGTTTATCCGCTGACATTACCGTAAAAGGAAGCTATCTTGGAAGTTTAAGGGTCTGAAGTAGAGGCTGTCGGAGGAGCCGTGCAGTAATTCACCAGCGATCCTGGCGCCTCTGGCGCCCCTTAGCGGGACTCTACAGTCCCACCCTCGGAAACCTCCACAATTGAGGTGCATAAGCATTAGCCTCTCTATAATGCGCCGCCAAACTCTATGATCCTTGAGGGGGCGGGACGTTCACCTACCCACCGCGCACGCGCGAAGCCCCTCTTGCCGCACAAAGACTGCGGGAGGAGGTGTCGGCGCAAGCGCTTTGAGTCTCTCAGAAAATAGGGTCATCATCCCGCCTCCTGGCGCAGGGAGGGCGGAGAAAGGCATGCGCTTAGAAGGCGCGAGACTTATTTCACGCTGGGGTGGCGATGACGTAATGACAGAGGAGGAGGTGGTCAAGGAACGGAAGCCGGGAGGGAACTAGGGCGGAAGGGAACCAGGGCCGGGCTTGTGTTCGGAGCCTTGGCGGGGCAGGGGTTCCGATGTGGTCCCCGGAGCGGGAGGCCGAGGCCCCGGCCGGGGGAGACCCGGCGGGCCTACTGCCCCCCGAGTGGGAGGAGGATGAGGAACGCATGTCTTTCCTGTTCTCCGCCTTCAAAAGGAGTCGCGAGGTGAACAGCACCGACTGGGACAGCAAGATGGGCTTCTGGGCTCCGTTGGTGCTGAGCCACAGCCGCCGCCAGGGGGTGGTGCGCCTGCGTCTGCGGGACTTGCAGGAGGCCTTTCAGCGCAAGGGCAGTGTCCCCCTGGGGCTGGCCACCGTGCTGCAGGACCTACTACGGTGAGGGCGGGCCCGGGCCAGGGGGCGGGGGTGGCTCCCTGAGGGTACCGCGCCCAGCCCAGGGTCTGGACCGCAGGAGCGGATCTGTGTTTGTTCAGTACGCACAAGAGGACAAGAAGGAGGCTGGGTTAGGGGTGTGGAGGGAGAGGGAGACGGGGCATCGGGCAAATTGGGGGGCCAGGATTGTCCGATTAGATTAGATTCAGACGGTGGGAGGAGAAACCCGCCTGGCAGAGGTGACAATGACTTGTCTGGCTTGGAATCCCGTTGTGTAGTTATTTCGTGGGGGCTTCCAAATTTGAATTACCCTGGCACAGAAGGTCTGCGAGATGGGATTTATCGAACTAAGGAAGGTCAGGACTAAGAAGACGGCAGTCGTGGGGGAGAGGCCTGTGAGGATCTTGCCAGCAGCCCCCAGCGCAGGTCCTATGTCTGGCCTGTCTTGGCTTGTCCTTGCCACAGGCTGGTTGAAGCAGAGGACATGAAGCAGGTTGAGGGCTTTACTGGGTACCTTGGTGCTCTGAGAAGGTTCTGTAGGTGTTACTTGTGTGACAGCTGCAGGGTTTTGGAGATACCTGAGGCGGTAGCATGGATATCTATTTAATAGATGTACCGCACTTAATAGTATGCAGGTACTTTGCATACACCATTCATCTGACCTCCTCAGCAGTCCTGAGGGAGAGTTGATAGAATTATCCTCAGCAGACACAGGAGGGGACTGAGACTGAGATCAAGCAACTTACTCAAGGTAACACAGCTAGTAAGAGGTAATGCCAGGACTGGACCCCCTAGTCTCCTGATTCTAAAGCATTTGCAGATCACATTGTACATATGCTGAGAGGAGCCTAGCTAGCATAGTACGTCCTTCAGTGAATGCAAAAAGTCAACTTTGATGTGTTGCTTTGAGTTTGCTGCTCTTCCTGATTAAGAGGGCTCCCTTCTCCCCAGTACCTTTCCATTGGTTGACACTGATGGGACCAGCCATTTCTGAAAGTTACTGTTTCTGAGAAAGTGTACTGCACCAAGTTGAAGGCCAAATGGTCTGGGTTCAAATCCTGGCACTGCCACTTGCTAAATTACATGCCCCTCTTTAAGCTTCAGTTTGACCAACTATAAAATGATGATGATAATTGTCCTTAGGTTTATCATGAGGATTTGAAACATATTCTTTACATAGCCCTTAGCACAGTGATTGGTCCATGGTGGGCATTCAGTAAGCGTAGCTGCTTCTTACCAGTACCATAAAAGTGTTTATGTCCTATCTCCACCCTAGCTTAGGAATAGCAGAAAACCTTTTCTCTGACCATCTTTGTGTATTTCCTTAGGTCTTGCATTAACAGTGACCCATTATTGTTATTTTCATTTTATCATGTTGAGCTTCATTTGTAAAAGGAAGTCTCAAGGTAGGCTTTGCAGCCTTAGTGGAGAGCTTGCATTTTGGAGCCAAGTTATAGTTTAGATTTGGCCTCGCTCACCTCAGTCCTTCAATTTTCTCATTCACCACCAACAACGTCCATCTCACAGAGTTGTCGTGAGGCTTTCAGCTGGAGCATAAACAGTGCTGCTCGTAGGAGCTGGCACAGAGTAGGTACCTAAGAAATGGTGTTAATGATGATGATGATGAAATTTGTCACTTGGGGGAAGGTGGGGACTGGAATGGGACACTGCATTAAGCCTACTATATGCCTTTCTCTTTCTTTGCCTGCAGTCGAGGGGAGCTGCAGCGGGAGTCAGACTTCATGGCCAGTGTAGACAGCAGCTGGATCTCCTGGGGGGTTGGAGTCTTCCTGCTGAAGCCCCTCAAGTGGACTCTTTCCAACATGCTAGGGGATAATAAAGTTCCTGCCGAGGAGGTGCTCGTAGCTGTGGAGCTGCTTAAGGTGGGTAGTCGGAAGGGCAAGGTCTGGCTCTCATCTGTGGTGATGACGGGGTCCTCCACGTTCCTGGGTGTATCCTTAGACAAAGAACGTCTTTTCTGCATGGTGACAGAGTTGATAACTGAGTTTATCTGACCTTTTGTAGCATTATTTAGTTGTTAGTTGGATTATACATTTCAAAGGTGATCCTCTGTCTTGGAATTGTCTATAACATACAGTTGATTACTTTTTGTAGTTGTAGATATTAGTGATAAGCTAAAGTTTAGAAAATTCTTTGCCTTCTGTAGTTTACTGGTAAGAATTTCTCAGGATTTCTGAGGACCTTGTGACTTCAGCTTTGCCTTCTCTTAAATCAGCAGACCAGGTTCAGATTTCCTCCTCTGTGACTGTAACCCTCTCCCCTTCTAGCTCACTGATGGTCTTAGTTCCACTGAAGAGGCCACCAGGCCCTTGGTCCCTTCATGCTGTCCTGGTCGGTCAGCTTCCTCTTGGCCTGCCTTCCCTAGCCAGCCTAGAGCATGCACCCAGCTTCTTCGCAGCTCCCTCGGGCCACCCGAGACACCAGCACATCCACTGCCATAGACCAGTCCCATAGTCTGCCATCCCTGCTAGAGAAAATCACCCTGTCACCAAGACTGGGGTCCCTTTCATGGTGCCCAGTTCTAGGAGGGCCCTCAGAGCCATTCCTCAGCCCAGTTTCTTGTCCTTTCCCAGCTCCCTCACACATGCCTTCCATACACCACCTCCATGACTGCTGACATTTCATTGAGAAGGTAGAATCATCTAAGTCAAGCCTTTAGTTGTCTGTCCTTCTACATCCAGTTTAACATCTTCTTTCTGAGCCTTTATTTCTCCCCAGGGTCGGAGGATGAGGAGTCTGTCTTCTTTTCCACATGGGCTCTTGAGTCTGTCTCTACCCTGCTGTCCCCTTGTCCCATCAGTCCCTCCTGATCTATATATTCCATCTCCCTCGCTTGGTGCTTTCCTTCCTCAGCCTCTAAATCCTCTCAGGTTTTTCCCATCACAGAATGACTCCTTTGTGGGACCTGGCCACTGTCTCGTTAGTGCTCTGTTTCTCTCCTTCTGGACCAAGCTTTGTTGTTACCACTGGCTGACCTTCCAGTGCTCTTTAACCCAGTGCACAGCTGTTTCAACCCCACCACTCCACCAAAACTGCTCTGTGTGTACCTGTTTACAAAATTGACTGAACACCAGGTAGCAGGAGTATACCATAGATGGTACTTATTTTTGAAACTCACAGACTAAGCCCAACCTCAGGACCTTTGCGTAGCCCCAGAGGCTTCCACACAGCTGGAGCCAGCTCAGCATCTTCATCCCTTATCCCAAAAGAAGCTCCAGTTTCTCTTCACCTTGACAGACCCCCCAACCCTCTCTACCTCAGATTGAGGTGGAGGTCTCCAAAATCTATCATCTCTCCCTGTCCCTCACGATTTGAGCAGCATGTGTCTGCTTCAAGGGAAGGGCTCTTTCCCCTCCCTCACCCACCTGATTATCCTCCCACCCAGTGCCCTGACCTCCAGGACGTAGCCAAGGCCATGCAGAAACTACAGGATGGTTTGTGTGGTTCTGGGCCAAGCTCCATTCGTCTTTGCAGTCTTTTACTTCAGGTGTTTTCCAACCTGAAACAAAGGGAGGTAGACTCATTTATCCCCACAGATGTGGTTTTGGATTCATAGTCTTTTGAGAGCAAAGGCAGAGATGGGGGTGAAAGTGGAATTAATAACATAGATCTTGGGGCACCTGGGTGGCTCAGTCGGTTAAGCGGCTGCCTTCGGCTGAGGTCATGATCCCAGGGTCCAGGGATCGAGCCCCGCATCGGGCTCCCTGCTCAGCAGAGAGCCTGCTTCTCCCTCTCCCTCTGCCTGCCTCTCTGCCTACTTGTGCTCTCTCTCTCTCTGTGTCAAATAAATAAATAAAATCTTAACAAATAATAATAATAACATAGGTCTTCCAAGAACCAACAATAATTTTTAACTGCAGGGTAGTTTAATCTTATTTAAGTAGAAAAATAAATCTCTCTCTGCAGCAGCATGGTACTGTTCAATCTAGACCCAGTTTACATCACAAAACAGAGCGCTTAACACTCAAGCTCATTCCGTTACATCTGCTTTCAAATATATGGTGACTTCACTGTTTTCTCCTGGGATGGAACCTTGTTTCCCTGTGTGAGACTGAAGAGTCTTATCAGGATATTTTTATAAAATAAAGCCTACTTCTGAGGTAAATTGATTTTCCCAAGTCTAGACACACAAAGCCAGTAACTTTATTTTATTTGAAAAAATACAAAAAAAGTAAAAATTGCCCCTAAGTTTTGCTATTTAAAATAACTATACAAAGAAACGAACGTTTCCTTTCTGTTCATCCCATTTCCATCTCTTTGGGTGCGTTCCTTTCTGTTCGTGTGTGCGCACACATGCGTGCTCGGGTCTTCATGTATTTTCTCATGGACCTTGTCCCACATCGTTGTATGTTGCTTTCTGTTTTATTTTGTTGTTAGCATTTACTGCTTCCTGAAAATATTATTTGCTTGTTTACTGATTTACCAGAAAGGAGAAGTTCCATTGGCTCTGGGACTCTGGGAACAGCGCCTGCTACATAATAGAGAGTCAGTAAACATTTGTTGAATAAATACATGAATGTACACATACATACAAAAACATGCATGCACACACACTCCATTTTTTCCAGAAATAGAATCTTACTTTACTTATTGGTCTGCAACCTGCCTTTTTTTCTTTACACTTCAATATGTTATGAGCATTTTTCCAGGCCCCTACATAATATAGATCTACTTCATTCTTTCGGATGGCTGCATAATAGTCTATAGATACACCACAATTTAAACAATAGTTACCACAGAGTTGGATGTTTAAGTCATTCCAATTTCTCTATTACAAAAAAAAAAAAAAAAACTTCTTTGACAGCCTTGTGTATACATCTATGTACTTCTATTTTTATTTTTATGGAGTAGATTTCTAGAAATGCATATGTACAGAAATTGCCAAATTACTTTTCAGAAGTTTGTACTAATTCACACGTTCATTAAAGTGTTCAGTCTCCCCACATCCTTGCCAGCACTGGATAACATGAGTCTTTGAAATTTTGCCAATATGATGAACAAAAATGATGCTTCCTATTTGGGATTTGAGCAGCCTTTTCCCTGTCTGCTGTCCATTTACAAATCCCCTTCTCTGCATTGCCTGTTTATATCTTTTGCTTGTTTTTATATTGGAGTGTTTGTCCTTTAGAATTAGGAGTTTTTTTTAATGTATTAGGGGTAGATATATATATATATATATTTAGTGTTAGGGATGTAAATATTGTTTTCTGGTCTCTTTTTTGCTTTTCATTTTTATTTATACTGTCTTTTACCATAGAGAAGTTTCCATGTTTCTATAGTCAGATCTCTAAAAATTTTCTTTTATGGCTACTGAATTTCTGGTCTTGCTTACAAAGGCATCCTCCACTTCAAGGATAATTAGATTTTTAAAATATTTTCTCATGGGCGCCTGGGTGGTTCAGTTGGTTAAGCATCCGACTCTTGATTTCGACTCAGGTTGTGATCTCAGAGTCATGAGATTAAGCCCTGTGTTGGGCTCTACGCTCTGCGGGGAGTCTGTTTAAGATTCTGTCTTTCTGCCCCTCCCCCCACTCCATCTTTCTCTCAAATAAATAAAATCTTTAAAAAAATGTTAAAAAATATTTTCTCAGGGCACTTGGGTGGCTCAGTCGGTTAAGCATCTGCCTTTGGCTCAGGTCATGATCTCAGGGTCCTGGGATCGAGCCCCACATCGGACTGCTGCTCAGCAGGGAGTCTGCTTCTCCCTCTGCCTCTGCCCTCCCCCCACCCCCCTGCTTGTGCTCTCTCTCTCTTTCTCTCTCTCAAAAATTAATAAATAAATAATCTTTTCTAAAAAAATATTGTCTCAATTTAAATTTCAGTAATTTGGCATTTGTTTTTGTATATCTGGTAAGGAAAAACGATTTTTTTCCAAACAGATAGCCAATTGTCTTAGCATCTTTTTTTTTTTTTTTTTAAAGATTTATTTTTCTCTTTGAGAGAGAGAGCCCACAACGAATGGTGGGAGGGACAGAGGGAAAGAAACTCATGCTGAGCGCAGAGCCTGACGCGGTACTCAATCTCAGGACCCTGAGATCATGACCTGAGCAGAAATCAAAAGTCAGACACTCAACCAACTGAGCCACCTGGGCGACCCAACATTGTTTATTAATGTTGTTTACCATTCATCTGTTGGTGTGGACACCACACTGTTCTTACTACAGTAGTTTCATAGTAAGTAATATTATCTGACAAGGCAAATAAATCAAATGAAAACTTTAATCTCTATTGTATTAGACTCTTCTGTTGCCTTTGACACTGTTGACCACTCACCTCTTAAAATTTTCCATTTCTTTGATTTTAGGGTCATTACACCGTGGGTTCTCCTTGGCTCTCCCTAAGTGGTGCTCTGGGTCTCTTTTGTGAGTTCCTTCATCTCTTAAACATTGGTCTTCCTTCAGCTTATTACTTTGTTCTCTGAGTTTCCTTGGGTAACTCGTTTACACTTGGGATTTGAGTTACCTTCTATATGCTTGAGGACTTTCAGAGTTATATATCCTGTCCTGGTGTCTCCTTTGAGCTCCAGATTTTATATCCAGTTATCTGCTGTACGTATCTTTTTGGGTGTACCTGAGGCATCCCAAACAACATGCCCAAAATGGAATGTTTTGTCTTTCCTATAGAATATGCTTTTCCTTCTGTGTTTTTGCTGTTAATTAATAGCATCACTTCCACCTAGCCACTCAAGCCAGACCCCAAGAGTCATCCTGGACTCCTCTTTCTCCTTCCACCCCATGCCCAGTTACTGGGGACTGCCTGTTTTATCTTCTGGATTTTTCTTGAACCCATCCCTTCCCTGTCCCTATCACCACTGCCCCGTTCAGTCCCTACTAGTCTCTTGCATAAATGGTCTCCCTGCCTCTAAGCCTAGCTCCTACAATCCATCCTTTCCCGCTTGTTAGCTAGATCTCTGTTAATCCAGCCTTGCCCTTTCCCTTCCATGACTACCCACCATCTGCAGGGAAAGGATAGCAAAGAAGATACTACAACTTGTATAAGAGAGAAGTGCTCCTGCTCTCTCTCTCCCCTTCCTGTCCACATCCGTAAACACCATATTGACTCATACTCTATGCCATTGCTCATGACCATCCCCCTTCCTGAGATACTCTTCCCACTTAATTTATCTAGGAACTTACTCAACCCTTCGGAATTCTGCTCAACAACCAATTGTCCCCCCCACAAGCAATCTCTGAACTCCTGGCTATTCCTTCCGCAGATTTTCACAGCACTCTGTGCATACCTCAGTAAGTATTTCTTATTTGCGGAAGACTGAGAGAGTAATTTCCATGTAGGAAGAACACAGTGGCATTGTTTCTTGAAACTTATATTAGGCTCCTCACAAAAGCCCTATCCCACTTCATTGTCACATACTTCTCTCTTGAGACTCTTTGTAGACTCAGTAATGTTCTTGTTTGCATTATCGCCAGTTGGCATAAAAATGGAGAGACCAGCATTGGAAGGAAATTTGGATGTCATCTCCTCCACCTTCTTCAGTTTGTGAGAGGGATGCTGAGGACCGGTGAGACTGACTGGTCCGGGGCCACATAGGCAGAGCTGAAAACCAGGCCTCAACTCTCGGTCATGGCTGTGCCACCACCCCACCTTGGGCTCCTCCTCCTTCCCCTGGGCTGGGAGACCCAGAAACATAAAGTCCCACATGGACATGCAAGCACGGAGCTGGCTCCCGATACACATATCATCTACCTCCTTTCATCTGTATACACCAGACTTCCCTCTGAGGTTTAGAGAAGAAACCTAGAAAGTTCTAGAAAAAGTTCAAGTTTCTTTTTCCTTTTCCAAAGCTGCTACGTTAGGGGTGGCAGGGCCAGTGCTCCCTGCCCTTGTCTTGCATGATCCTGGTTTGGAAACATAGGGTCAGGGCGCACGGGGCTCCGTGGGCAGTGGCCAGGCGTGTAAGCACATTTGCCTCCCCTGCAGGAGAAGGCTGAGGAGGTGTATCGTCTGTATCAGAACTCCCCTCTCTCCTCCCATCCTGTGGTGGCCCTGTCAGAGCTGAGCACCCTCTGTGCGGGCTCCTGTCCAGACGAGAGGACCTTCTACTTGGTGTTGCTGCAGCTGCAGAAAGAGAAGAGAGTCACAGTTCTCGAGCAGAATGGGGAAAAGGTACGGAAGTCCAGCTGTTCATTCACTGGCTCCCCGATGGCTTATTAAGTGCATACTGACATGCCTGCGGGCATTCCTGCCTGGGGATTTCTCAGCATTTGTGGTAGGGGCCCCAGTAATTTGTCCCTGTCCCTCAGATTGTGAAGTTTGCCCGAGGGCCACATGCCAAGGTCTCTCCTGTCAACGACGTAGATGTTGGGGTATACCAGCTGATGCAGAGTGAACAGCTGCTCTCGCGCAAAGTGGAGTCCTTGTCCCAGGAAGCAGAGAGGTAACTACCCCTGAGCTGAGCACCCTCTAACCCCCACCCTGGCTGGCCCTCACAGCAGCAAAGCATTGGTGCCTGTGGGCTCCCTTCAAAAAAAAAAAAGGTGTTTTTTTTTTTAATCTTCCTAATTACAGAGTACTAACTGCTCAGTGCAGCAATCTTGCAAAAACAAGACTATCACAAAGGGAAAAAAAATGAATTTTAATTCTTCCCCCCAAGATTACATCTGTTAGCATTATGTTTATCCTCCTCCGTGCCAGTATCCTTTTAACCAGTGTTTGTCGAGCCAGGCCTTGTCTTAGGGAGTTAGGAATACCGTAGTGAACAAGGCAAGTTCTGCCTTCCAGGCTCTTTCTGAGGGATTCCTGCTCTTCCCCTTAGATGGTGAGGATATCCCTGCTAAAGGTACATGAACGCTTCTCCGAAACATAGGGTATATGGACATTGAATTAAAATGCCCACTCCTTACAGTGAGAGAGACCCAACATTGTGGGAAAGCCAGGGAATACGTCCAAGGCCACTGTTGGTGTTAAGAATTGATTCCTTCTCTCGTGGCTCCTGAAATGGGACTGTGTTGTTAAGGTGCCTTGTTGGCATGTTCTCCTTCCCTGGAGGCTGAAACAGCTTATCCTTGGCCGGTTTGCCTTTGTCGCGTGCATATGTTCAAGTTTATATCTCAGCTTGCTGCGGGAGTTTGCCAGTGGGCTCTTGGGCATCGTTTTTCTGGCCATTGGGTAGAATTGATTTGATTTTCAGATTTGAAAGTACCTTAATTAAGTGGGACTCTCGGGGACTATTCAGGACACTGCCGTCCTGCGCCACAGTCATCTTGATCTGTCCCCTGTGTTTGGTAGGTGTAAAGAAGAAGCCCGCCGGGCATGCCGAGCAGGAAAGAAGCAGCTGGTGAGTTTTCCCTCTTCCCCTCCAGTTGTGTACCTGTGCCTTGGGCTGGCAGTGGGTGGTGGTGCCCCAGCGGTTCAGAGGAGAGCTTGGGGCACGAGGGGAAACGTCTGCAGGTGGTCCGGGTACCACAACTTGCTTTACAAATGAGAGAAGAGGAGGAGGCCTGGGGTGGTCTTACCACTGAGAAAGCCTTGCTTCCTCTGGCCCTCTGGCCCACCTGACCAAGTCTCCATGCGCCCCTAGGCACTGAGGTCTCTCAAGGCCAAGCAACGGACAGAGAAGCGCATCGAGGCCCTGCATGCCAAACTGGACACTGTTCAAGGCATCCTGGACCGGATCTATGCCTCGCAGACAGACCAGATGGTAGCCACCGCCCCTCTGCTCCAGTATCTGGGCCGTCTCACCGGCATACACTCCTCAGTCCCTGCACTGTGGCTATGCTGTTTGGAGGAGGCTTGGGTTTTTTTCAAGATCGGGTTGGGAGTTTGCTTCTCCTGTTGGGAAGTTTTGGCCTCGGTGAACATGGGATGAATCAAGTGCGGGTGGTTAAAAAAACCCCAGAGTTATCGTTCGGAGATGACACGATATTGGTATGTATTTTGCCCAGTGTTCTTCATTTGCACTGATAACTCTGCTTTCTTTTTAGGTTTTCAATGCTTATCAGGCCGGGGTAGGAGCACTAAAACTCTCCATGAAGGATGTCACAGTGGAGAAGGCAGAGAGCCTTGTGGATCAGATCCAAGAGGTACAGGAAGGGGCCAGGGAGGAAGAGCTACAGAAGGAAGTTACTAAGGGCAGGTGTGACTTTGCAGCGCTTCCTCTTTCCCCAAACTGGACTCTTTCCCTTGGGCACTTGAGGAAGATTGTCTTGATTCTCAGACAGGGCAGCATGACTTGGTAACCCTGAACATTGAGCCCGAAAGGCCAAGACTCCCAGAGGTGCCACTCCGCGTTCAGGACCTTGTGCTTTTCTCTTACAGCTGTGTGACACCCAGGATGAAGTTTCTCAGACTCTGGCTAGCGGGGTGACCAATGGCTTAGGTGAGTTGACAAGACAGTTCTTTTCATCCTTCCTTCCTAAGAGGCCTTCCCTTCCTTGTGCTGTGATGGGTTGGATCATAGATCTACTTCTCCTGGTGCAGGCAGGGCTCTCCTTTCTGGGGCTCACCCCCCTTGGTAGACTGTACCATTAACCTCTCTGGGCTGTAGCGACCTTGACTCACTAGACTTCCGACTGGAAGATCTTCCTTTAAGGGCAAGGGGAAGCAGGGTCAGTTCTGTGGTGTTAGCAGAATATATCCCCATGATGACCTAGCTCTGTGTGTGGGAAAAGAGTATTTGCTTGGAGATGCCCTCTGCCTCCCGACTCATATGATTTTTCTGACCTACAAGGAGGCCTGGACATCTTTTATAAAGCTGAGCTGAGTTATGCCGTCCTCCATCCTTGACTCATGAATGCATTTGCTCCCTGGACTTCATATGTCCTCATGCCATCTTTTCTTTCCAGATTTTGACAGTGAGGAACTGGAGAAGGAACTGGACATCCTTCTTCGGGATACCACCAAAGAACCTTTGGATCTGCCTGAAAACCCCCCTGAGACATTTTATACCAACAGTGTGCCTAACCCTAGGATCTCAGACGCTGAACTTGAAGCTGAACTTGAGAAACTGTCCTTATCAGAGGGAGGTATGGAGCTATACTCCCAGGGTTGCCGGTGGGCATGGGGCCCTCTGGTTGACAGTAGCCCACATAGGGTTGGTGAGTTCCAGCCCCAGTACTCAATTTGCCAGGGTACTAACCCCGTGAGGGAGTTGCGGGCTCATTATTTATGTGAAGACTCGACCCCTTAAACACTGGGATGCTTTTCATCCTAAAGGTCTGCCTGCTGTGGAATTCAGTCATTTCTTCTCCTTACAGGTTTGGTCCCAAGCAGTAAATCTCCAAAAAGGCAATTGGAACCGACTCTCTAAAGCCATTCTAGGACCCTCAAGTGAAGGACCCTCGTGTAAAAGAGAGACCAGGCTTGTGTGTGTGTGTACATAGTTATTTAAATGAGAAACTCTCAGAATTTGTTGGGAAGAGGAGGAAGGAGAGCTACTCTGATTTATCTTGGATGCTACCACTCACCACAGGACAGATGTCATTTCTGGGAGCGTGCTCGCAAGGCGTGCTCCCAGCTGGTGTCATGGACCTGCCTTCTCATCTTTATAGTGCCACAATTTATACGGTTCCGTGTTTGACCTGTCGTCTCTCATAGCCTGCAGTTCTTGCCATTGGCTCAGTTAGGTTTGTCTTCACCCGCCAGCTTTGTTCCAGCCAATGAAGGTGAAAGAGTTGCAGCTTTGCCAAATCAAAACCATTCCCTTCTCCCCACCCCACTGCTTTTTCCCGAGGACTTTATTCTGTCTGTAAGGTCAAGTAAACAACTTGTTCCAGTCCTACTCTGTTTTCGTTGGTAACTCAAGGAAGGAGAATCAAACAGCTGCCATGTTATGGAGGAATGTACAGTGTGAAAGGTTGTTCTGTGGGGTCACTGGCCAGATTCTCCAGGTGTTCAGAAAAAGAGGTCACCCCTGAGTGTCAGAGTCACAACAGCTGGTCAGGGGGCTTGTGTAGTTGGTGGACGCTGCTGCCTCTTCCATCTTACGCAGAAGATCTGCGGACTGGAGAGTTATTCTGAGTCTTCTGAACTTGAGGGGGAGAAGCCCAGGTGACTGTAGGGCCCCGGGAGTCCAAACTCCAGATTTTTGTTAACAAGGCACAATATTTGCCTTGCCCCCATCATGGAATAACTTAACATATAACTTAAATATGTGTATCAGAACAAGCCACACAACCACAGACCTCCCCTTCTTGAGCCTGGCACACAACAACAGGTTCTTGGTTTGAACTTCAGAAGCATTTCACTTTGTAGCCCATTGCTCAGGGCAGGGGATCTGAGCCAGGATGTGCAATAGAAGCAGAAGATTGTGGCCTTCCGCCATGTCTGCCGTGTGCTTCCCCCGTCCCGCACCACACCTGGCCTGCCTCCTGACGCCCTGTCCGTCGCCTGGGGAGGATGGTACGCGGGGGGGCGGGCAGAGGGCAGACAGGAGGGTCTGAATGTTCTGGCAACAGGGAGAAGAAAGGAGGACAGCCCACTGCCACTCTGCTGCCACAGTACAAGTCTTTCTGCCTGGAGCCCTTTGCCCTGTCCCTCCTCGAAGTGCTGCAGAGCCAAGGGAAAGAATTTGCTCCAGGCCAGGAGCACGAATTACTGTTCAATTTCTCTCCTACTTGACCTCGGTAAACTGAAATGTTGGGGGTGAAGAGAAACAATCACTATTTTTTCTTTTTTATCTGGTAAATAATTAAAAGAAAAAATCCGAGTGCCTGTCCTTGTCTCTTCTTAGGTTATACAGAGTTTCTTGCGCCCTCATGCCAACCCACTCGCGCCGGCGGCACAGACACACTCCAGGTCTTTGGCTGATGGCCGCGGGAGGACGAAGGAGTTGCAGAGTGTGAGTGCCGAGCTGGGCGCTGCCAACCACTCGCTCTCACACCGACGCCCTTCCTGTTCCGGGCGAGGAGGCGTTCTTTGAAGGGCCTGGGTTCGAGGAGGGTGCCGTCATCTTGTTGATTATTTCCCATGGCCTGTTCTCTCTCAATCCCTCTGCCTATGTGACCGTACCATAGTTTAGTCCGGCTCAGTGCTGGCTCGGTGTTCACTCAGCGCCTGCTACGTGCCCGGTGTTTGCAATGGCGGGCGGGGAGGCTGGGTACAGAGCTCGGAACAGGCTGGAAGGTCTGCCGTAGCACTGGGTTTGCAGCTCTAGGGGAGTCAACGAGCCCAGAGCAGAAACAGCTTGGACACTGAACCCCGTGAAACAGGCCAAGTGCTCTGAGGAAGGCGTGTCATAGGGGTCAAACCGAATGACCTGAACTTTGTGCATCTCTTCTTACCTGGTCTCATGTTACTTTTTATTTCTCACTGGTTGGAGCTGCTGAGGAGTCCTCGTTGAAATGTTTTAGCCTGGTCCCTTGCTGTGCTGGAAGAAACGAGAGAATGTTGAGTCTGGGTAGGCTCAGAGAGAACAAGGAGCCGTTGGCTAGTGCTGGGTGCATTTCTGCACGTGATCTCCATGGGGGCCTGAGTCCTGTGTCAGGATTCTCTCCTCTTGAAGGAATGGGCTTGGTTTATTAAGGGAACTGGTGAATTTTCTTAATGTGTGGAGCTATATCGGGCCCAGATGAATCAGGCTCGCATACTGCCCTGTTAAAAGTGGGAGTACCCTTCAGGGTACAGATAAAGAGCTAAGGAAGTTCCCAGGATAAATACCTGAAGGTGGAGGGCTTCACTGAAGAGATGACATCCCAAGCTTTCATTTCCCTTGAGTATTTTCTTGGGTGTTCAAAGTCTTGTAAAGCAGTCTAAGTGTTAAAATGTCTATCCATCATTCTGCTAGGAACAAGTAGGGAAAGAAAATACGAATCAGAGAGTGACTGGTCCTGAGCGCAGGAAACCTAGCTCCCGTTCTTGCCTCAGCCACTAATGAGTTGTATGGCTCTGGGCCTGCAGGCCTCTCATTTCTCATCTGCAAAGTGAAGCAGACAGACAAGAGGACTCCTGAGATTCTGACTGTCTTAGTCTCCCTGCATGTGGTCTGCCTCTCCTTACTCCTGAACACCCGGCTGCCTTGTGACGAGCCTGGAAAAGTGGCTGGAGAGTCCGCAATCACTGCCTGCCAGGGGACAGTGTGTCAGTGTGCAGAGAGCAGATGTGGGAAGAGGGGACACACTACCCATTTGGGGAGGTGGAAGGAAGGGGGGCAAGCACCCGGGAGCTGGGTAGGCTCTCCAATCAGACACCTATTGTCAGAGGGATGACTCATCACTGCCTGAAGGGCTGAGAGTCCAAGGCTGAGCAGCCAGCCCCGTCCCCTGCCCCCCGAAGAGGTGACGATATTCTGGTTCATGTGCTGGAAATGTCATCAAGACAATCTGAAAAGAGAAAGAACAACAAAGCTGTAAGAAAGCTGAGGCAACTGGGAAAGCTACTGACTCACAAGGAATCCAACCAAAGCTTGGCTTTGAGGTTTGTGCGTGAGTTTGACAACCTTCTTAGCTTTTGAGGGATTTTGTTTTCCCCGCCAATCTCTCATTCTTACCGCCACCATCTCATTTTTATTCAAGCTGCAGTGCCTCTTTGGGGAAAGTGTGGTTCCCGTCCTCCTGCACAGAAACAACACATCGTCACAGACCCCTCGGACAGGAGGAGAGCCAGAGCCCCGGCAAGTGGAGGCAAAGCCTCCATTTTACAGATGAGGACACTGAAGCGTAGGTGACCTGCCCAGGGTCACAGAGCTGGCCGGGGAATTTAGGCTTCCAACTCAGTATTCTCTCCATTAGAACAGACTACTCTTTTTTTTTTTTTTTTTTTTTAATTTTATAGAACAGGCTACCCTTAAAACAGACTTTCAAAAACAATGTAACTCCAAAAGCCCTTCCTGCGGCTGGTGGGTGGTGTGTGTTAGCGCTTTGGGCTGGCAGACGAGCTTCCTTCAGTTCTCAGTGCTACGATGACAGAGACGTCTAGGGATTGAAAATCCCCTCTCAAGAGATACCAGCTGGCCAGTGTCCAATTTTTAGGGAACTCAAGGACAGTCTTGGCATTGTTCCTTTGCTGATATTAACCATGAAGGTAACTCTTTTGACTTGTATTCTGTAGCAAAAAACATCATCTGTACCAAAAACAAATCCCAGCCATGGGCTACACAGCACTTTCTAAAGGAGCCAGACTCAGAATCCTTGCAAGATAACCAATGGTGTGATTAGATGACTTGGTACCCCCAAAAGCACCCAGTGAACTGCAGTGTGGATGGAATCTCAGCTAGTGGATTTCTATCCCTATGAACGGTATAATGAATGTAGGCTGGCTTCCTGGGTTATCACATTATGAGGTAGCCTAGAAACTTCCTTATACATGTGGGAAGAGTAAAATCTAGCTATTCAAAAATATCATGCGGGGCACCTGGGTGTCTGCCTTTGGCTCAGGTCATGATCCCAGTGTTCTGGGATCGAGCTCCCCATCAGGCTCCCTGCCCGGTAGGAAGCCTGCTTCTCCCTCTCCCTCTCCCTCTCCCACTCCCCCTGCTTGTGTTCCCTCTCTCCCTGTGTCTCTCTCTAATAAATAAATAAAAATCTTTAAAAAAAAATCATGCTGAAGTCCTTAACCCAGGAAAGTTAAAAATTAATCAACAGATTCACATGGTGTGCCTAGTAGGTGTGAGCTAACAAATCAGTGGAGGAAAGAAGGAAGTTTTAGATGGGTTCCCTGCCCTGCAGGTACTTAAAGAAGAGGATCTTAGTTCAGACTGCCATAACAGCATACCACAGACCAGATGGTTTAGAAACGACAAAAATTATCTTGCAGTTCTGGAAGCTGGAAGACCAAGATCAGAGTGCCTGAAACGGTCTGGTTCTGTTGAGGGCCCTCTTTTGGCTGCAGATAGCCACCTTCTTTCTTATATCCTCACTTGGTGGAAAGAGGGCAGGGGAGCTGTCTGGTGTCTCATTTTTATAAGGGCACTAATCCCATTCATGAGGGCTCTACCCTTATGACCTGATTACCTGCCAAAGGCCCCACCTCGTAGTACCAGTATATTAGGATTCCAACATAGGAATTTTGGAAAGGACACAAACATTCAGTCTATAACAAAGAGTAATTCCATGATGTTAGCATGATGAAGGATGATTAGTACAGCACTAAGCATCTGCAAAGCAGGGGTTGGATGCCTCAGGAACAGAATGTCCAATCTTAGACTCTAGCTCCTATTTTAATGCAACAACAATAACAAAAAGCAATAGCTGACATTTATTGGGTACTTACTGTCTACCAGACACTATGTGTTGCAGACTGGATTCTCCAGAAGCAGACCTGGACCCAGAGTTTGGGGTATCAGGGCTCACCACCTGTGAAGGGAAAAGGGAAGAAGAAGATTGGGGAGAGGAAGAAGTCAATCCACGAGGCAAGCCCCCCAAAGCCTTGGCCACTCTGGCAGGAAATTCTAGAATGAGTTTGCCCATTACTGTCCCACGTCTGGCAGAAATGGCCAGGCCTTTATCCATCACCACCCCTCTCCCTCAGTTATCAGATTCCCCTGGAATGGGAGTGACCTCAGCTGGGCAGCTGTCTGCAGCTGGCGCAGCCCCTGAAGGAGTCAAAAGCTGGCTGGCTGGTGGCTGACCACGCCCCCTGCAGCTGGGCAGCAAATCCTTGAAGAGAGGCCAGGGCAGTGCATCTCCATGACTACCATGCTGTGCTAAACTCTTTGAATGTACTTAATCTCCAATGAGACAGGAACTATCATTTCACAAAGGAGTTAATGGAGGCTTAGAAAAGATCAATAATTTGTCCAAGTTTACCAGTGGATGATTGGGATATTGTGATGTACAAGAAGACATACATAGTCGGTCTTCATCCTGTTTTTGGCACAGAGATCCTAAAACCCTTGAAATTTCCTAAGTGATGAGAGTAGAAAGGGTTGTTGATATTCTTAACCAGCCCCTT